AGTGCCAACCATCGTGCCTACAGCCGCCACTCCAGCGTCCAAGTGTGTGTCATGGGTGGGCTATGCATGTACTTTTGTATGGGGGATTGCCAATGACATTATTGTAATACTGTAGTATGCTTTTTCACCTTTTTTATGTTTATTATTGTCACTCCCCCAAAAGTTTAACGTACTCTTTGAGAGGAGGTAAGTAGTCGAGTGAGCTCATAACCGTGTAAAGGTTAAGCACGAGATCCCCTCGACACTGTATTGTGTGCTTGTGCTTACCACTGATTAATGCAATACAAATAGCCTTTTGCTAATTCGTGTGCCATCATGTTGCCTTTTGTGTGTATTTGCTTTGTTGCGTTGGCTTACTCGTCCCTTTCAAGTGCCGCATGGGGCTGCAACGATTAACCCCGTGACAGGTATTCATTGCCCTTTCATTTGTTCCCTTGTACGGAGACAAATAAGCCAGATTCACGAATAATCCCTGAAACTCGTCGATCTCCATCATCCACCTCATTTTCTTCTTTGTCATCGTTCTCGTCAGCTTCCAGTATTGGAACGAACCTTGCACCGGCTGTTAGAGAGAGCAGTGGCTCTTCATCGTCGTAAACCATTGAATCAGACGGTTTGGATTGTTGATTGTACTTGGTCTTCACGTCACGAGGAGTGATGGATTGCAGATGGGGCATACGAGGCTGCCGTGTTTCTTGACAAGGGAAGTGGAAAGTGTGAGAACACTCCACCGTGAAAATGGCGGTTCTTTGCCCCAACTTCACGCTTTATAGCATGAGAACACTCTACGGAAAAAAATAAAAATTAAAGAAAAAGAGTTTTGTTGTATTCGCTTTGTAACCACATAAGACAAATGTATAGATTGGGTCTAGTAAGAGTAAAGATTGATCAAAAGGAAGGAGATAAGAAAAGATATATGGTGTGCTTTATTTTTAAGGATAATTTTCACATTTTAAAAAGTTTTAATTGTCATGTAATATATATAACCGACGGTCCATTAACGATAGATATTAGATTATTACGTTTTAAAAATTTGGATATTAGATTATCGCATTTTAAAAATCAGGGATTAAGTTGTCACTCAAACTAAAATATAGGGTATGAAAATTTTCCCTTTATATAAACGGTAAACTATCTATGTGCGATCTATGAATATTCAAGCCAAATGTCACTTGTCGGTGGTTTTATATTCTATTAGGATGTATAATCTCTTGTTCGTTTGAAATATATGGTCTGACTAGTTTCAAACTTTCGAAATATAGAAACATCAGTAATAAAAAAAGGAGGGATGAAGATAAAAACACATAAACGCCTGCAGAGAGGGTGTTTGAATATGCTACTCACAAGCCTATTCAAAAGGAATTTGGATTGGCTGTTGGGTGGGCTGTGGAATTAATCATTGATAACACCCCAGTCAATGAGAAAGTATATGGGGCATACATTGAGAAGTTATTGGTGTGAATTGTTATCATTGATTTCACGGCCTGTTTAATGAGTTTTTGATAAATGTCAAGAATGGGTTTGATAAATGTGCTTAATATTTTGTGCCTATCTTAATATTTTAAAGTACTCAATGACAATTGAGAAACTCCTAATGGGCACCTGTAGTATCTTGTGAGTAATACTAAATCCCAATGTTTTGTACTGTCATTGATACACAAAGTATAACTGTTTGGCCCGAGAACCATTTAGATAATCGGTTCTGTTTTATTCTAAACCCGGTCCCTTTCAAAAAATTGTTGAATTTGTCAACGATCAATTAACCTGAGTGGTCGAATTGTCAATCTATTTAATGGTTTTAGCCGTTTTTATTTTAATTTTTTATCAGCTATTCATTTGAATTGGATGGTCAAACCGTGAATCCACAAACCGGTGGCTAGAAAGATTCCAATTCCGAATCGTTTTTTAAAACATTATTAAATCCAAGCTTCAGATCAAGAAGCACCGTCAGGTCCATTGATTTTATCTACTTACTCACGCATATAGCGTGGTTGGACCACGTGCACCTCCTTGCTTCATCTGGTCAACTTTTCAAGGTAGGTAGGTAAATTGGCTAGCCAGAGTGAGAGAAACCACGATCATGGGATCATGGGTACTGGGTAGTAAAAGGATAAAATCCCTTCATCTATTAAGGTTTGCAGCAGCAGGCTGAACCTGGACCTGTATCCCAAGTTCTCTTGCCTTGAGCTTGAGCAGCCTAATAAATTCTAATTTAATTATACCCTTTTGTTTTCGGTAGGAAAGTGCAAGCCAAACATTAATTGTAGCATAATGGATGCTGAAGATAGGGCAAGCCGTCTGTCGGGACTGAGGCTAGCAGGGCTTATTTGTGTTCCCATGGCCTTGAGAGCTGCCATCAAACTCAAAGTCTTTTGACATCATGGCACAGGCAGGTCCAGATGCTCGACTCTCTGCTTCAGAGATGGTCCATAGGATGGCCGCCACCAATCCAAATGCGGCAACAGCCTTGGACAGGATACTTCGGATTCTAGCTGCAAACTCCATCCTCTCCTTCTCCCTACGACCGCGTGATGATGGTAGCGAGCCTGAGAAGGTTTATGGGTTAACAAGCGAGTCACGTTGGCTCGTTCCTGGGGACGATGGGGCCTCGGTAGCGCCAGAGATGCTACTGACTCTCGACAAGGCAGTAGTGGAGAGCTTTTATTGTCTGCAAGATGCTGTGGTGGAAGAAGGGTGTATCCCGTTTGAGAAGGCCCATGGAACGGATGTGTTTGAGTACGGTGCCAAGGAGCCTGAGTTCAACAAGGCCTACCCTGATGCCATGAACAACGGATCGGCCATAGCGTTGGCTGAGGTCTTCAAGGTCTATAAAGGTTTCGATGGGGTGACAGAGATGGTGGATGTTGGTGGTGGTACTGGGGTTTCAATTGGGTTTATAGTCTCCAGGTACCCAAATTTTCGTGGTGTTAATTTCGATTTACCTCATATTATCTCCCATCCTCCTCCATTGCAAGGTTGGTTGCTAACTATTAATCTCTCTTTTTACCAGAGTTGACACCATTATATCACAACTTCTTGATTTGAAAAGCTATGGGAAACCAGACTAAATGATTTTGTTTCTCATGGAATCCAAATTACAGGGAGTGGCTCAATTCTAATGACAAGGTTTGATTTGCTTGGCAGGTGTTGAACATGTTGGAGGGAATATGTTCGAGGAAATACCCAACGAAGAAACCATTTTCATGAAGGTTTTTTCTTACTTAGTGTCATGCATTGCCTAATAGCCTCTGTAATAATGCACGGTAGGGTACAATAAATAGGAGCAATGTTTTAAAAACCGATCTGGAGGCCTAACCGTTTTTGCCTCTGGGTCACAAGTCACCGGTTCGACTGGTCAGGTCAAATGGTTCAAACCGTGTCACATCATTGCGTATATTAGCAATAAACAATGTATAAATATGTTATATATATTAATTTATGTTTTTAATTCAGTTTTTAATTTTTTTATCTATAAAAATTATTAAAGTTTGTAATTTGAGGCAAAAAATCTCTCCAATTAGACATTGGAGTGCAAAGTTATAGCCTCTAAAAGTTTGTATGCATTGAGTATGCAACCCACGACCCGATCACCAGGTCGAACCAATTGGGTCGAACGGTTCTTGACCAAGTCAATGGTTCTTTGTCGTCTAGCACTTGACTGAACATGATCCAAAATCCTGGCTGGATGACGGTTTGAACGATTCAACCATCTCAGTCAATGGCAAGTTGAAAACATTGAATAGGAGTCAGGAGATGAGCAACGAAGAAAGTCACTAAACATTGGGCTTCTAGGTAGGGTTGTCAATTTGTCGGGTCAGACCCTATGGGCCCAAACTGATTGGACCAGTTCTAGTTCTAGAACTCTTCCCGATGGGTCGGTTCTCGGTCTCAAAAAATCTCTCGATTACTATTGGGTCGGAAGTGGGTCCACCTTGTCCCGAACCGATTTGGACCCGACCCGACCCTATATATATACTAAAAATGTCATTTAGGTGGGGTTTTCCTTCAAAACCCTATCGAAATGCTGCCCTCAACCCTTTAAACGGCTAAACCTTTTCATTTCTGAAGAGTGAAGAGTTTGAAGACTAGCCTTTTACTCTTTCTCTTTTCAGTTCTCATTCGAAATCGAAACTTGAAAGAGCTAAAGAGGAAGTTTCTGGTGAGTGGTGACTCAATGACTCTGGTCTGGTTTGTGACGTCCGTTTGGAGAGTGGAGACTGGAGGCACAATGTCCATCGCACAACACTATCGTTGTCCGTCAGTCGTTCATCCGTCTAACCAGTTGTCTTTCCGTTCGTCAAGGCATCAATAGTAACACCCTTTGTCAGGTAGAATGTAATGATTTATTCAGTGTTTGAAATCTTGAGCATCCACCCCGAGAAAAACACTTGCCGTCCGCCATCACCACCACTACCTAGTAGCCACTATAAGACAATTGGTCCTCCATATAAATATTATTCTGAAATGTGAAATCTTCTTCCATTTAAATATTTTGATATTTTTATTACATTTTAGGTTTTTACAGTGTTTTAATTGCATTTTTAGCAGTGGTATTATTAGCATGCATAATCGGTTGCATCAGGTTGGACCCGATTGATTCGATTCTGTGTCCAAAATTAGAGATTCTATAGGATCTGGGTCGGTTCCAAGTCCATGGATTCTCTTGTCGGTTCCGGGACAGGTTCCACCTAATTCCGACCCAGAACCGACCCATTGACAACCTACTTCTGGGCTTCCATACCAAAACTAGCCCATTATGACCCTTTTCTTTACAAAGAGTAAGGAAGCCCATAAGTAGGAGCCCAGGGCTGAAAGCCTGAAGCCGAGCAGTTTCCGGTTTACGAGTTGAGTTCCACATGGACAGCTTATAAGCCATGTTCGGTGAAAAATATGAAGAGCCCAAATCGGCTGTCGGTTCTTAGCCTTTCTGAATAGTCCATCCAAAACGCTTAAAAGCACTGAATCAGCTTTGCTGTCAGTTCAGTCCTCCCAAATGGACCCCGGGTTTGGAAAAATATGCCATCCATACAAATTTAAAATCACCATTAGGCCTATATAGACGGGCATGCTGAATCATTCATTCCTTTATATGAGATGCTAACAAAATTGAAGCATTGATTTTTGTGATAAAGCACAGGATTGAAGGAATTTTGTTTAATGTAAATACCAAATTCCACCGTGTGTATTATTAGGGGTATCAATGGATCAGTTTTGGGTTGGACTCCGTCCAAATCAAAATCAATTTGGATGGATTGAACAGACCAACAAGACATATTAAATTTGGATGGACTAATATGACATATTGGATTAGACTTGATCGTCCATAATGAATTTATATTGAATTGAATTAATATCTAATCCATTAATAGAAGATAAGAACATAGATGTCAATGGACCAGGTTTGAATTGAAAGCAATCTAAATTAATAAGAACAGATTGGACAGTCTCTGGACCAGTTCAAAATAGTCCAAAATATTCATTGAACTGGATCAGATTGAACCAAATCCAGTCCAATTGACACCCCTATGTATTAGCATCATCTCCTATGAATAATAATATATAAGTAAAAAAATATTCTCAATCTGTAGTTGTTATATACTGTGAGGTTGGGGTGAGGAGCAGATCTGAACTCTAATTCCTGTTCACTACTCTCTACCCACTGTGAATTACAGCTTACAGTTATACATCTTCATCTTGAATTGTGAGATGTACAGATGCAATGTACTGTGCACTGTAAGTAGGGCCGGCAGAGAAAGTAAAAAAGAGATCTGGGTTCGCGTAAACACTTCCTTTTGCTTTCTGATTCTAATGGAAGACAATGAGGCATGGGATAGATAGGCCGTATGATAATGTCAGGGTCTATGAAAGACTAATTTATCTTAAAATGTAAGAAACAACTAGGCCCAAGTTAAAGACTTGGCAGGCTTATGCGCTTATGCCTCGACCATTATTGGTCAAGGTTGGAGGTTTACTAAAATAGACGACACTACGGTAGGAGGTTTGAGTAACGAGGCGTGTGAGTGGGCGTAGCGTAACGTACACACACTGTACACCACTTGGGCCCACATAGTGGTCAATATTACGCACTAACGCAAGTCAAGTCTGGTCGAGCCACCAGCACATGTTAGCAGTGTAAGAGATTTTTCTGCAGATGTTCATTCTATGTCTCAGTAGTGGGCTGGGTGGGCAGTGGGTCCATAAAGGTTAAACGAACGAGTTCACATCTCTGCCCCACAGCAGAGATGATAATATCATCATCGAAATATCTCTGGATGATGATATTATTGGTCAAGGTTAAACGAACGAGTTCACATCTATTCATTTAGAGTTCACATCGTGTATAGGAAATATCTCTCGATGATAATATAAGAATCGATACTATCATCATCGAAAGATGTTCTCAATACATGGTGGGGATGTGTTGTGGGGCATTGTAGGGCTGAGATATGAACTCTAAATGAATAGATTGATTTCTTAAACATACTTGGTTTAAATATCAAGCCTTAAGGATTAAAACACTTTAGTGAAGTCTCTGAAAGTTTGAAATTTAATTAATTATAATGGAGACAATCAAATCAAGTAAAGGAATATCTAAATTTGATTAAATATTTAAATATTCAATTTAATTTGTGATATAACCGGTTCTGGTCACGTACCAATTTTTTTGGCTAAGTGCCTCGCCATTTGACCTGCTCCTAGGAGAGGATGGCAGAGCTCCCTGGTGGTGAGCTATCTTGGCGGACTCGTCATTTGACCTGCTCGTAGGCGGCCTGTAACTCAGAGGATGGTGGATCTCCCTGGTGTAGCGCAACTCGACTGCCCTCTACATGAGGTGGTCTCCTCTCCTTTGTAGGCGGTGGGAGCTGAGAGACCTGCGAGAACTCCATATTTTCCTCTTCTTTGTAGGCGGCGGGAGCTGAGGAACCTGCGAGAACTGAATATGAGGACCTGGGGGTATTTTCCCGACGGGGACTCTCCGATGCCTAAGTTAGCATTCTGATTGTAGGGAGCTTGGAGAGAAATGAGAGAGCTAGAGAGTAGGGATTACCTCCATTTTCCATTCTCTCCCCCTGTCTTTGGGGGTTGGAGTCCTTATATAGTGGTGTCCTGTCAGGCGTAACAGCCTCTGTCAAGTCAGGCGTAACTGCCTCTGTCTCTCTGCTGCAACCATTATTGCCAGAGTTGAGGTGGTGGGTGCAGGCGACTGCTACAGAGTACGGCTCTGCCAGTCAAGGGACAGCTCTCAGGACTGGCAGGCACGACGCTGCCTAGCGAGAGACGTGGGCGCAGGCCTCCGGATCTGTTAGGTACGGTTGTCAGGCATGAGATCTTCCTGCGATACGCCGAGCTGCCTGTAAATGCCGAGCTGCCCCTAAGTGGCGAGCTCTTCGTAAGACGCCAGGCTGCCTGTAGAGTGGCCAGCTGCCCCTAAGTGGCGAGCTCTTCGTAAGACGTCAGGCTGCCTGCGGAGTGGCCAGCTGCCTATGCCGAGTTGCCCCTACCTATACCGAGTTCCCCGAGCTATGCTGAGCTGCCCGAGTTGTGCCGAGTTGCCCGAGCTGCTCAGTTGTCAAGAGGCTGCACTTGGTTTGCATGAGGTGCCACGTGGCACACAATTTCACTGGAGGGCCAAATCCGCCCTGAATATGATTTTATTCTCTAAGGTAGCTTTGGCTTAATTTGAGAAGAATACAAATACAAATATGTATGTATGCACCTTGCATTTTTATTTTGAAACCTATATTTGTATTTATACTCCTCCCAAACTTCCCTTACTCAAACAACATAATAAAATGGAGGTTGGCGCAGTGGATACTTCATAACTGGGACGATGGACGGTGCGTGACGCTGTTGAAGAAATGCTGGAGGGCATTGCCTCACGGAGGAAAGGTGATCATCGTGGAGTTCGTCATCCCTCCGGTGTTGGGAACCGATGCTGTATCACGCTATACTTTAAGTGCAGATCTTTTCATGATGGCTTGCAATCCGGGTGGCAAAGAACGAACAGTAACGGAGTTTTATGGCTTAGCAATGGCTGCTGGATTCGCTGAAATGAAGAATTGCCCGATTGGGCATGGCCTCCATGTTATTGAATTCCACAAGTAAACTACTTGATGATGCATCGGTTTATCTTCTTTTCTCTTCGATCTGTTGATGACCTGGAACAATAATCAGAGATATTTTTGTATTTGCAACAGGCCAAACATGTTAAAATAAAGAAATATTCGATCCTTGCTCGTCCTTAAGAATCAAACTGACATCTGATTAGAACTAATAACAAAGGCAAAGGCTGTATTTGGCATGAAGGAAAATTATTGGAATTAACTCTTTTTCTTTTGTGCTGAAAACTCATTCAATTCTGAGAATTGACTTTAGAGCTAAAAACATTCAGCTTAAGAATACCCCCAGCCTATGAACTTAGCAGAACCGGGGGTTAGTGCTCTGCTCCCTTCCGTAGACAGACTGCGGCCGGTGATTCGTTTTCACACAGGACTGCTTTCCCGTCTCCTTCTCCGTCCACAACTCAACTCGGCTCGTCTTATCTGATTATTCTTTGCGTGCGTGCGTAGGCGTGGCTGTGTGGCTTGGGTGCTCCATGCAACAGAACGTGGTGCCAGCCAAATCAGAACAGCAGAATGATTGTAATTGCGTACAGCGTTAATTAGAACACCCTCCGGCTCAAGTTTCGAAGAAATTCCTCCGGTCCGGCAGCAGCCCGGCTCTAACCATGGGAATACCTTTGCTTGTCGTATTGCTTAAATGATTCCGACAGTATAGCACACCTATCAGAATTCAGAAGTCGTCACTTCACTTTGACCCCACCTACCATCCATAATCACCCCCCCCGGCCAATTTTATTTCTTTGGATCCGTCCAGCTGCACTGCATATCCTCGCTTCTCACACATCGTTTTCACTAAAATTCCATCCCCACCGAAACAAACAAAACAATCGCGATTCGCGAATCACGAATACTCGAGCAGCAGCTACCCAAAAGAAATAAAGAAAAAAAAAACATAGAAGAAGGGAAAACTAGAAGTAAAGATTTTTTTTTTTTTCAATATTTGTTACAACAAAGAACAGGTGATCAACTGACCATATCGCCATCATAATTCATAAGCTTGGAGGTGGGGGGTGGTGTCAGGCACACAAGAGAAGGCTTCATTAATTCCGTACACCGTCCTCCAAACGGCCCCACCCTCACCCTTCTGCTAAGGTAGGCCATGCCCTGATGCCTCCCTCGACTCTCTCTTCCTCCCCTACAGCCCTACTTACTTACTAATCAGTCTGATGTAGACCACCAGTCGTTATCATGCAACGTTTTTAAACCATCATTTCCTCCCTCAAGGATGGGTCCTACACTCCTAGTCTCATCATACGACACAGATGCCTCATTTTGGCCTTAAACTGACTGTTACTGACGTACTTCTGTTCATAGTCTATTTATGGATTCCCATCTGTGGTTGGTACCAAACTTGCTTAGTTCAGGCAAGTAAGTCATTAAACACAGTTTGGATAATTTAAGTGGGTTTAGTAAGTAAAAATGGAAATAAAAGGTGAGAAGATGTCGAGTTGTTTCAGTATCATCAATCACCCACTGACCTTGGAGTGATGTATAAGATTAGGGACCACCCATCATTCTGTACCAATCACGCCAAGTCCAGAATGGTACCCAGAACCAAATATATATATATAGAGAGAGAGAATTGGTAATGAGATACTAATTGCTTGCCTAAATGCCCATATGCACCAAATGCTGGGAGTGGGGTACCGGAAGACCTGAAAATTACCATCAAAGGGTTAATACGCAAGGATTGTTTTGTTGGGATGCGAGGTTTGGTACCGGAATTCAATGCCTTTATTCCCTGATTGCCATCAAGAAAAGGGGCCGGGAACATGGTTAAAATGTCCCCATTCCTGTCGAAAGATATACAAGGTTGTACCTCTGGATTTGGGTGAATTTGGAATTGGAGACAGGAATCGCATTTCTCAATTCCGTGTGTTTTAGGGTTCTACCTTTTGGGTGCTTGGTTCTTCATATCTTGGGGTTTGAAGAAAAAAAAAAAAACAAAGGATGAAAGAGCTGTCAATGTTATCATCAGTCGGAGGCCCATCCCGCCCACACCCACTGTCGTTGCAGATGCTAATGGTTTCTATTGTTGTCTCTTGTTGTTGCTGCTGCTGCCATGATGATAACAACATTAGGAAACTCTCTTTTTAAAGTCAACTACCTGCCTTTGCGTCTCCACCTCACTTACCCTTGCTTCTTCTTCAATTATCTGACCTGTTTTAAGTTGAGAAAAATCCGAAAGCAAAATTTATTATTGATTTACGGTGAAAATGGATATATTGCTCCAATCAGCTTCGCTTTGTTCATCAATTTCACAGTGACCAATTTTGCAGTTCTCAAACTGATCTGCGGTATTGTGTCTTGCAGTACGAGGAAGTTTGGGAAAATTTGGTTAGCGGTACAGACTCGCTAGGTTCATAGGTTGCATGTTTGCGTGTTAGTAGTTCACGTGTCATTCCAATTTAGCAAATTTCGACTCGGTTAGGGTTTTCTCCTATGAAAATTTATTGTACCTTGTGCTCCAAGACATCATGTATTTTGCATTTATTTTTTAATGGGTATTTTGCAATTTAATTACTAGAATAATGGTAAGAAAATAAAAGGGTTATTTACTAAAACATTCCTTATACTTTTACGGATTTAAACCTATCTTATATTTTTTCATTTTATTAAAACATTTCTTATATTTTGCAACATATTTATTTAGTCGATTTTTTTAAGATTTTATTTTTTTGTTTTGACATCTGAAATAATAATATGATCACCTAAACTGAGTGAAAAATGTCTAAGGGCATGAATCTATAATCAGTTGTTCCAAAAGTACTCCGAACACTTTTTTGTACAGAAAACAAAATTGACCAAGTTGAGTGATCGGTCTTGTCTTATTAGGGGCAAAAATGATATTTTTATTTTTATTTTATTTTGATTAAATTTATTCAAATGAACATAAAGCTCAGTTTAGAAGGAGTATAAATACAAATATGTACAGTACAAATACATACAAAATAATAACAAAATACAAGGTTTTGCACTGTACATATTTGTATTTGTACTCCTTCCAAACTGAGCCTAAGGCTGTGTTTGATTGCAGTGTATTTTTATTTGCACTAGTACAAATGTATGGGAATGCAAAATCATAGGAATATTTTAGTAAGTGACCCAAAATAAAAACAAATAAATTTACAATTCCAAAATTCAGCTTTACCAAAAGTAGTTCACAATTCACAGATTTTTTTTTTTTTTTACATCAAATACTCATTGCTATAATAATGGCAACTTCTATGATTCATGCTGGAAGGACAGGGAAAATTAGACATGGAAGAAACACAGCATGATACTAGAAATGAGAGAGAGAGAGATAGAGATAGAATTCAAATAAATTAGGCTTAATTTTGATCTTCTTCTTAGGCCTAAACTTTCTGTAGTCTATTTTTTGTATCTGCCATCACTCAAGCAGCCTGTCTTTCCTAGTCCAAAGCAGCATTAAAAAATAAATAAAATATTTGCATGCTGAAGAAAAAGTGACTCGTGTGTTGTTTTCATCCATTTATCTTTTCTTGCTCATGTTTGGAAAGAGCACAAATTCTGGACAGTGCAAAATAAGGTTTAGAAATACAAATGAGAGAACCTTGTTAAGTGATCAATCATGATTCATGACCATGCCACTGTTCCATTATCAAAAGAGACCGACATGTTGTGTATATAAAACACTAGCATGTTCGGTCACTTGTGATTGGTCACTTAACTGGGGCCTAGTCAAACACTTGTATTCGCATCACATTTGTACTATTGTAATTCCTCTTATCCCTTTAAAATTTTGAATAACAAACAAAATTAGCTCCTTCAATGAACGACAAACACCCTTGTGACAAAGGTATCTATTTTTGTTGGAATTCTTATTTCTTTTTTATTTCAGGGTGGTGTACAATTTTATTGCATCATTTTATGGATAATAAATTTTTTTAATTGAAATAAAAAAGCAAAATTACACATATTTATAAGCTTACTTGGGTGCAACTGCTTCATGAGGCCGGGCCTTTTCAAAATTTGACGAAAGCCCAACTCAGCCTGCCCGAATTGCACCCTACTTAATTAGTTAAAACTAATTTAGTCAATACTTCAGTTTGGTTTCTATCGCCTTCGACCTACTCTACTGGAGGTCTATTTTCAACAGGAAATAATGAAATTAGATCTCTAAAATCTCTCATCCTTTATTCCTTTATCTCTTAAGGTTGTGCTTGGAAATGATGCAAATGGAGTATAAATCTCGGTTAAGGGCAAATTTGTATTCTGTTTCACCTTTGCCTGTGTTTGACAACATTACATTTGTGCACCGATAAATGACAGATCAATGCATATTTATATTGATAATAAGATGTAAAAGTATACCAATAAAAGAAGAGTAAATTTACACTCAAATGGCTTTTGAAAATATATGCTTTATTGAAATTCATGTTTGCATCCATTACAGCTAAAAGTCTGTTTGGTAAGAAAGTAAATTTGTCATTGCAAAACTAATTCAACTTTGCAATTTATATGAACCGTTTTACACTCTACATATTTACATTCACACTTATTTGCATTGTTTACAAAATGCAGCCTAAGGCTGTGTTTGGCTTAAAAGAAAAGGTAGAGAAAGGAAGGGTAAGGTAGAAAACCTATTTTACACTGGAAAATAAGTAAATTACATCTCTGAAATCTCTCATACTTGATCTACATTTCTCTTCTCTCATCCTACCTCTCCGCAGTCCAAACCATATAAAGAAAGAACGTAGGGGCTTCCTCTTTGAAATTCCTCCTTGAAATCTACAATTCTCTTCTCCCTTCACATCTCCACAGTCCAAACCATGTAAAGAAAGAAAAAAAAAAGATCATCATCATCATCTGAGCCTTATCTCAACCATATGAGGTTTCACTTATTGTAATGGTTGTGGTTGATGATCTTTATATGACCACATTATCATAATTTACTTTCTTTCATTTTATCATTTATTGGAAAAAAATAAAACAGGAATTAAAGATAAAAGTAAGGGGTAAAAGATATAAAAATTCCATGTGTTTTCATAAATTGGCTTACATATACCCTAAGGCTATGTTTGGTTTGAAGGAAAATGTACGGAAAGGAAAGAAAAGGTAGGGAAATCTTTACAAACCTTGTACTGGTTTCCTGTCTTTCCTTTCCTTCAAACCAAACAAAATTTTTAGAAAAGACTTAAAATATACCTTGTGACTTTTTTACCCTATATCTTTGCTTCAAATTTTCAAAATATATCCTAAATTTTTCAAATTCATGTAGGTGGTGGGCTACTGAGCATACCGAACTGCCTCTAATTAGATGGTTCAAAATATACCCTAAAACTTTCAAAATCACGAGGTGTATGCCTTCTGTTACAAGTCTTGTAAAGCTCAGAAAAATAATGCACTAATTAGATGGTTCAAAGTCATGATCATGGTTTTTTTTACTCAAGGGCTCCACCTGGGTGGGACCCATACAATGCCTGGTTGGTCCTAAATATAGCAAATGTGTGAGTTATTGAACAACTCTTATAAAAGTCCTAAAAAAAAAATCTCTTGCATGGGTCCGGTCTATTCACAGCAAAGACAGAGGAACCATTTCATTTTTTTCCCTCCTCCCCACTTCTTCAAACCTTTTGACTAAACCCCAAGGCTCGGTGTGATAACATTCCATTGAATCTTTCTCTAAACTCTCTCCCCCCAACTTCAAAAATTTGTTTTCAAGTTGAACTTCCCTATTTACTACCTAACTTCTCCATTTATTTCTATATGTGTGTGTTTGAGTTGACTGAACTAGTCAGTTGGTCTTTTTT